GAGTGAATGAGCGAGTGAGAGAGAGAGAAAGAGAGAAAGAGGGAGATGGAGAAAGAAAGATCGCTGATATACTGATGGGAGGGAGGAGAGGTTGAGCTGTGGGACCACCTGCTTCTTCTCTCCCTCACTCTCTCTCTCTCGCTTTCTCCCTCGCTCTCTCGCTTGTTCTCTCTCTCTCTCTCTCTCTGAGCGGGTGGCGAGGAACCTGCATGTGTGTCTGGGAACACAACTGTGAATGTGCGTGTGTCTGTGTGCGTGTATGTGAGCAAGAGGGAAGGAGAGACTTGAAACATGCAATTGTCTGTTTGTTTTGCTGTATCCTTTTTATTTATCTCGTTTGGCTCAGATGTGTTTGGCTCTGTTTGTTATTATCTTCTGTGTGTGTGTGTGTGTGTGTGTTTGTGTGTGTTTGTATATGAGTGAGACGCATACTCCCAGTGTATGAAAAGAGATGACCAAGATCCCAGTGTGAAAGAAATAGATGGTGTGTGTGTGTATAAGAGAAATTTAGATAATAGAAGAATAGAAAGAGCGTTTTTGTCCCCATGTGAAAGTGTGTGTTTGTTTGTTTGTTTGTTTGTGTGTGTGTGTGTGTGTGCGCGCGCGAGTGCGTGAGAGAGAGAGAGCAGTCTTTTGATAGAGAGGGACTGAGACAGGCACTGCGTGGGGGAGATATGTGTATATGTGTGTCGCTGATTGTGCCATGAATGAAAATAAGGAGAGAGTGGAGAGGAGGGGACGGGAGAGGGAGGGGAGGGTAGGGAGGTGTGACTCTCCTCCCATTCAGCCATCTCCTCCTCCCCTCTCTCTCTCTCTCTCTCGCTCTCTCTCTCTCTCTCGCCTCCTCCTCTTGAGTGACAGATGAGGGGCTGTTGGCAGCTTGTTCAGGCGCGCGTCAATAATTAGCCTCCTCCTCTCGTCTCCTGTGCAGAAATAGCGCTTGTCGCAACGCACAGAAGCCGCCTGAGCGAATATAGACTCTCTCGGTCACTCTGAATTTCTGCTGTGCAGCCGAGGGTGTTTTCATCGGGTTTACAAGCGGCGCCCCCTTCCCTTCCTGCCGCTATATATATTGCGCGCTGTGCAATTATGGCAATGGCCCGTGATCGCTCCTGGCTTGCAGACACACACACACACACACACACACACACACACACACACACACACACACACACACACACACACACACACACACACACACACACGCGCTAGGATGGACTGATGCGTAAAGGGGGAGGGCGCACTCGACAACCTCGGCTGTTTTTTCTTCCTTCTCACTTAAACAAATTCGCGCCTGCACGCACTGCCAGTAAGTCGGTCGCACACGCGCGCACACACAATCGCACACGCGCAACGGTTCAAGGGCGATTGATTTGGAGTTTAATTTCTCTCCCGGCGCTCTTGACGCAAAAGGATGCGCCTCTGACTGACCTTGACGACAGACAGTGAGGTTTTGTCTCTGTCGCCATGCAGCACGCACACTCTGCTGAAGACACACACACACACTCTGCATCTTCACCTTCTATGTTCTAGCCTGTTACAAATGAACACTTTCCATCTGCTTTCTAATTATAGTCCATTCCTAATTTTAGCTGCAGCCCCGAAATGGTCGTCTTTTAATAATTCATGAGTTCAGATACAGAGCCTGGCTGCTCCTATCTGGCACGCTTATTGGCACCGTGTTGCTCAGCCGCCTGAAAAAACAAGGTGAAGAGGCCAGCCTGGCTTTTCAGAGAGGAACACTGCGCTGTTTGCTTAAAAAAGTTGTCAGTGACGAGACTGTGAAGTAATCACCCCTAGAAAGCATACGGATGTGGGCCACTTCAGGCAGCACTCCTGGCCTTCTTGTGGCCTGAATAAAGTGGATGTGAGCCAGAGAGGCCCACTTGTAAAAAATTATCTGTGGCTTGAATATCACTAAACAAATATTGGCCTTTTGTGGCAAATATGTGGTGCTTTAGACAAGGGTTAATCTGAATGTGAACCTAAAGTGGCTCATGTGGTAAATGGTAAATATGGCCCAAATAGCACAAAACAAATTCGGGCTGCCTTGCGCACCATCGGTTTACATGCAGTATTTTGTCTTACTCGTGTCCCTAAACAATTTTACTGTGTGGGGAAAAATTGCAGATGATAGGCAGACACATCAACCTTCACCTTATTCCCTGCACATTTTAGTTAAAGGTGCCAAGTGAAACATGCTGGTGCTTATTCGACAGTTTGATCAGTACCACCAGATGCAGGGAGGTTGTGCATAGGACGTTATCGCGCCTGTTCTGTGTGCCCATAGTGTAACTTTTCGTTCTGGGACGCGTTTGTTTTGATCAATGCAGATCTGAGTGAAGCGTGATTGTTGCCTACAGCGCTGACATCAATCGAGACGGACAGGGGTTAAAAACGACTGCATGTGAAGAAGCACTTGAAAGCTCCTCTCATCTCAGCTCACCATACGCTGTGACGCGTGCACACACAAATGCACACTCAAGCCTGTTTGTGTGTAGACCTACAGCCTGTGGGGGTGCGCGTGAGGGTACAGCGTATCCTCATACTAGTGTTTTCCATTCCAATATATTAGTGAGAGGAGTCTGTTGTAGCCTATAGAATTATTATTATCTCTCTGCTGTGACATTGTTGTCAATAGTTTTCCAGAAATGTTTACGTCAACTCAGGCATAATTCAAGTTCACTGAGGGAGATGTGTGTGGGGGAGGTGTAGGGGTCAGGGTCGCCGAGGACTCAACACACACACACACACACACACACACACACACACACACACACACACACACACACACACACACNACACACACACACACACACACACACACACACACACACACACACACACACACACACACACACACACACACACACACACACACACACACTAACACACACACACCTTCGGATCAGTGGGAGGCTGGGCTGGAACGGGGGTCGCTCTCTTGTTGCCATAGAGACGGGGAGGAGGACAGCGGTGTTGGATACTGTTACTAGGCAGGAGAGGCTGCCACTGAAGGAGGTGAGAGTAGGCGGGGTGGTGGTCGGCTGTGGAGGGTATAAACAATGTCAGGGCTGAGTGGGAGTGACCACGTCTAGACGTCACTGTTAATGCTTGGATTATTTTCTCAAGTCAAGAGGAATAAAAAATAATTCTCAGTTTAGTTTAGAAATGACAGTTGGAAGAAAAAAGTTTAAAATTAAATCAGTATGCTGCCACATCTGTCTAATCATTAAAAACATTAATTGCCATATTATTTTGTTATATTTCACTTTTATCAAATCAGTCAATCCATATTGTGGTTTAATTCTCAATCTAGGTCACTATAAAGTACACCAACTTTGTCACATGTGCTTTTTACCACCAAGTCTTCAAATAGAGGTCCAGACAGTGCTTGAAAATCAGCTCATATCTTTAATCAACCTTACCTCAGGACAAGAAGCGTCATCTCTGTCACAGAGATGTTTACCTCTCAACGTGACCGTCAGGGATCGAGTGCCACCTGGTGGCTTGTACCCATAACTGCTTCTTGTGCTGGAGCTCCACAGTCATAAATGTGGTTCACTCGCGCCCTCTCCTGGGCAAAAATAAGTATGATTGCTCCTTTACTGTGAAGCATCCAGAAATAATAAGTGCAGTCTTTAAAATGTTGTTAGCTGGAGTTGCAGTGATGATAAAAGGGAAGTGTTCTCATTTTCATGTGTGTGTCATAAATCATAAATAGATATATAGCTGCTGAATTATTTAAATACAGTTTATCCATAAATAAATGACACAACTACCGCATTGTTTTGACTTCTTCTCCCCCTTTAGACCCCGTCCAGTAGCTCCTTAATCCCATTAATGACCACACTGTCCTTGTTAATGTTTGTGGCACCAACAGCACCATTGTGACCCTCCAGCACCACGGACAGCGCCCTGGTAGACATGGATAAGGCCGCTGTATGACTTCAGCACCACGGACAGCGCCGTGAGCTGTAGAGCTGCAGTTTCCCATCAACACTTTGAAAATAGTTTCCATCGTTCTCCTCATTGATCCTTTTATAACTCAACACATCCAATAACTAATGGATGTGACATTGGATTATAAAAATGTATAGTTCTATGGTAAATGGGCAGTTTGTATATATTCACATAGTGCTACTATGTGCTGTGCCTTTCTATCACAAACCATTCACACAGGGGAAATTTGGGGTTTCGGAATCTTTCCCAAGGAAACTTATTAATGCAGACTAGAGGAATCTGAGATGGAATCACTGACCTTCTGGTTATTGGACGACCTGCTCTACCTCCAGCCACAGCCGCTCTGGGTAAATTATTCTTGGTATAATTCACATTGTCTCACCTGCAATTTTAAACATTAAGTTTGACTCCTTCGACCCACATTAAAAGAGAAAATCAGTGAGAAAGAAGATATGACAGGCAGACTGGCAGCAAAGGGCCTCTGCACAGACTGATTTGCAAATCGGTTGTGCCGGATAAAATTCAGTCTTTGCCTCAGGAATAAAAAATGAGAGGAAGTGAATATTTGAATGCTACGATTTCAAATAAACATCGGCTTAACATGCAAAGTGCAGTTTGTGTAGGAGTGCGTGCAGAGTCTGACTCACCCTCGGAAGACATTCACCTTTGGATGTGCTTTGTGTGATATGTGAGATGAAAAAACCTCATTCCTGACCTGTTGAGTTATGACAGTGTGCAGATATAGGCCTCTGAAATGGGTATCTAAGAAGTCGAACATTTGACATAGTGTAGTAATTCACGTTTAAGATATTGTTTGTGTGCTTTTCAGGTTGTTACCGTTATAAAATGCTTTCAGGTGAAGTCCATGGTGGAGGCTGGTGTTCTCATGTGTTCTTTTTAGGCTGCATGAGTTTCACAGATGTAAAATGTTTCTTCAGTGTTGTTATTCTTCACCCCTCTGACAGGCGCACATATTCAGAGGCCCATATGCTGACAACCGCCCGCCCACACACACAGAGTTGTGTCCTCACTTTTGTTTTTATTGCACACTTTAATCATTTAGTAAACAGATCTTCACAGTAACAATGCAATAGCAGAAAACAGAAGCGAATCACTGTGCGGTGCAGGTTGTCAGGTCTTCAAACTATTTATAGGTATTTACACTGAGAATATGAAAACGGTTCCCGAGGTTATCCGTGTGGAGGGACGAGGCATTTGAACCCCTCCATCAACCCCCGAGCAGGCTTGAGTCCAGCTCCCAGGCTCGACACTGTTTGTAACTCTATGAATCCTGTCCATACTGCCAACCCCAAAACATTCAAGTACTCCATTTCTGTCATTGCACAGGTACTGGGTTAGCCAATACACAGGACCCTTGGAGGAAACTGAAAATTGCACTGGCACCACTTCTAAAACTTAATGTCCAAAATCAAAACAGCTTAGTCTTCTATCTAAAAATGATAAAACCCAATTTAACCCAATTTAAATAATATCCAAATGCTAAATATTTCCTCTATATTTTCCTATTAAGCAACATGAATCAAAACCATAACCAATAATTAATTAAACCACTTTCAGTCTTTGTAACGCACCAATAAATAGTCATTTGGACATGAAATCTCATAAAATGAAACAACATACAAAGTGTAACATTTTGCATCGAATAAACTGTAAAATTATACCGGACACTACTTAATGTTTCAGGCCTGCAGGCAAGAATGGTTGTGCATCTAAATGAACTGACATAGCATTTAAGGAACACTACCAGCACATCAGTGTGGGCTCCATTCTTAAAATGTGTTTTTGGTTTGTAAAATAATATGTTAGTGTCGTGCTGTTTGTACTGCATTGATGTGCAAGCTCAACTTGCAGGGGAGGTGAAAAAGAAAGTGAAGAGGATACAAAATTGGAATAAGGCAAAATGATGGTGCTGCTTGAACAGTGAGAAGAATACTCCAGTTAATGCTGATCAGAAATATAGAGACATTTAAAATCTGCCTTTTCCAAGTCGAAAAAATAGGTAAAGAAAACACACCATTAAAAAAACCATCTCCCTGTTTGTTGTACGTTGTTCTACTCGGCCTGACTTGTTTTTGTTTTAAAACAAATTATAACTCGAAACGTCCTCACACCTTCTTAACCTTTTCATACATCGTGATAACAGATAAAGCTTATTATCTGGCCATAAGATGCCCAGTCAGTGTTATTTCTCATTTGGTTATGCACTAACATAATTAACACATAAAATAAGCTGATACCCTCATATTCAAAACAAACAGGACAAAATCCAAACACAGCACTGGTTCCTGTGTGTCTTATACAACATCTGATGAAACAAAAATACATCTGTATCTAACAAATACAAAGCCTCCGTGTGAGCACAGTCTTCCATCGTATCTGTGGACAGTTTCTTCCGTAAACACAATTAAAAGCAGTTTCCATAGAGGCATTGATGGCAAGTCTTGGAATTCACTGAATTCAGCTTGATATCAGAAGAGGGATTTTTGGTCCAATCCCATGAGTCAGTCAGCCACAGACCACCGCGGCACATTGTCCCTTGTGTCGCTGGCGGTCACTCCCGAGCAACGCCCTCACTACCTGTGGCCTCGGCTCCTGCGGGTCGCCGTGTCCCCGACTAAATCCTCCTCCACCACGTTAACGGAGCCCTCTTTCTCTATGCAGCCCGCGAGGACCTGCAGCACCAGCCGGAGCCTGCGATCCATGGCCTGGAGGTGAGGCTGGATGAGGACAGGGGACAGTCGGTCACGCAGCAGAGACTCCTCCATCAGGGAGCTCAGCTGGTACTCCTCCTTGGCCAGCAGCTGGAGACGCAGGTATGTGGACCTCCTCACCCTGGAAACATGGGAGAGAGGATTACTGAGCAAATTACCTGAAACATCAGGATGTTTAGTGTAGGCTGCACATATTCTAAAAACAAGTTGATACTTTTTTAACCTTACGAATTTTATATTTATCCAACTTAAATACATAAAGACACTAAAGTTGCCATGAGTGTAGAAAAAAACTATCCCCCTAAAATTATGTCCCCTTTAGTTTGAGACATTTCTTCTGTCTGAAAGGCTTTAGGCTGACATAACTTATCCTCGAAGGCCCATGAAAATAATTCCACAGACCTGCAGCACTGGCTGAGGGGCACCAGGATGGACAGCTCATCATGGGAATGTTTTCCAAACCTACAAGGGTGGGAATAAAAAAACACAGGATTTATCATGAACAGCACTCTATGCCGAACTCTGCTTTCTGTATTTCTCCTAAATCCTCAGAGCGTGAGAAATATTTAAAGTGAGCAGATTCATTTTAATTTCATTTCTGATTAATTCCTGTGTCACTCCAAGATTCCAGTGGATCAAACTTTTAAAGCTACTATGACAGAAACATATAGAGGTATAATTTAAGTATATTTTATAATTTATACTTTAATATAAAAGCTGATTGATGTTTTTACCCTCTTCCGTTGTCGAGGTGAATAATGAAAGTGTCATTTCCAAACTTCTCAAAAGTTTCATAATGATGACGATCCATATTACCTGCACAAGGACAAGATAGTGAATAAATATGATGGAGTAAGTAATTATTTATTAAAAGAGATCCATCCATTTTAATTTCTTATATTAATTGTATTTTCTGCGTACCCATTAAGAAGTCAAAGATGGTCATGTCCATGATGTCCAGCAGTCGAGTGCCACGGTCATACGGTGGCGTCTGCTTCACCTCGTCACAATAATCTGGGTCCACCTCCCACCTGGGAACATGTAGAATATGTTTTAGATGATTAAATGTAGATTATTATAAATAATAAATAGCTCAGACTAATCAACGTCACGAGGAGTTTCACTGCCGACAGATCTGTGACTGTGCTTCACTAGTGTCGCTCCCTTACTCTGCTTTCTTGCGTTTGTGGTACGAGCGTCTCCAGGGGTTTCTCCATGTCTTGCGTTTGGCCAGGTTCAGGTCTGGCAGGAAGGCGGCCAGCGAGCCTTCAATCTGGTCTGGTTTCCCGCACAGAGCGTGCTCAGTGGAGCAGTAGTAAGAGCATTCGCCGTAGAAGCAGACGTTATTGGCTGAGGGGAGAAAAAAAGCAAACGCACTGGTTTCGAATTGCAGTCGGAAAGGAAGAATGAAAAAAAACAGATAAAGGAAATATATAGACAGGGAAAAAACAGGATGATGATGTTTTCCTAATCACAGATTCAGAGGGAGGGAAGAGAACCTGGTCATTTGTTATCTACACATCAGACAGAGTAGGCTGCTCAAAGCATTTCATTTGCATTTTACATTTTGTTTCTGTAAATTGTTTAATCAAAGAAACGTAAAACCATCATGTTTTACGTTGTAGTATTTTGTAGAGCACAAATTAAATTTATACAAAATTAGATATTGTCTTTATTCTTAATTAGCCTATAATTAAATTATATGTCTATAATACTTAATGTCTTGATTATGTTTAGGTTTATTCACCCTCTTTTAATGTTTGTTTTATACAGGTTTATATAGTTCTATAAATCCCCTTGTAAATCCTGCACTTCACTGTGCCACCATGTGGTAACTTTTGGCTTTATTTGTTGTCACACATAAAAGATTCTTGACACACACACACACACACACAAACACACACACAGTTCACTTTGTACACCAGCAAGTTTGTTTAATCCACTTGTGTCTTGTGAAGCCAGTGAGATAAGTTTGTTTGGATAGGATGAAAACAACAAGTAGCTACGACCCTGTGCTAAACGGCAGAGGCAGGCGGAGTCACTACCTGGTGAGATGAAGAAGGTCCTCCACAGCTTCTTATCGCGAGTCACATCTCTGATCTCTCTTGTCATGTTGACAAGTCGTCCCGCCACCGGGGGCACTCTTCGGAAGTCAAGGATCCTAAAGAGAGAGAGACATTTGTATTACATAGTTTTTTAAACACATTCATCAGGCTTTTTAAAGGGATCTTTCAAAATTTAATTAAAACTATTTATGTGAAGCTGGGCTGTTTGCCATGACGTCAATGTCGCCCTAGTTACATATGGGAAGATCAACAACTCAAGTTTGACTGTCCTACACAATGTTTTCAACTTTACTGTCTTCATCTTAAGCCTCTTTGTGGCTCGGGGGATAGAGCGGGTTATCCAATAACCTGACGTTCGGTGTCTCGATCCCACGCTGAAACTACCTCTGACAGTTGTGTGAATGTTGTGTGATAGAAAAAGCGCTGCATAGATATATGTGTGCATGAATATAATATAGATAATACTGAGAAAGTGCTTTATAAATACCATCATCTTATCTGCTGTTAAGTTCATTATTTTGCATTTGTCCATTTGAGTATAAACAGAAACAAAGGAAATTAAACAACCCTAAGAAAAAGTGCAACATCAGGATCCATTTCCTCCCAGAAGAGCAAATTTCTGTGATTTACCATCAAACTTGATCCGTACGGTTTCACCTCACGAGATATATTAATAATTCACCATCTTTACAGTGCTTTGTGTCCGACTGTGTCATTGGCATCAAGAGCAGCATTTACTGGCATCGCCATCTGCTTGTGAGCAAAACAAGGGCGTCTATTTCAACATGCGCTCAAAAACAGGCAAATACACAACTTTATGAACCACATCCACTAAATCCCGATCTAATCCTCCGCTTATAGTCAGATGGTAGAGAAGGTTCATTCCAGGCGTCCTGCCCTCAACTCTTTGTCCTCTCTTTTTTGCCGGCATCTCTCTCTCTCTTTCATTCTTTCCTTATGCTCCTATGTCAGAACACAATTCCTATTCAGCCCCTGATTAGACGTCTCAGTGTATGTGTTCTGTCCCAATGAGCCGGACCAGTTGGACACTAAAACTAAGCCTCCTGGGAGTAGGCAGACACACAGACAGACTGACTGGGTGCAACAGAGTTGGCGAAACTTTAGCCTACAGAGGACAGCATTCAGGAGCTGAAAACTGCACTGTCATGTTGAGCCCCGGTGACAAAGGAGCACCTGTGAGAACGTCTACGTATATATGTGTGTGTGTGTGTGTGTGTGTGTGAGAGAGAACACTGAAGTGTCTATTTGTGTGCACCCGTAGATGATTACACACTCTTAGGTCGCAAGGAGTTCACAATTTATATAGTACACAGGTAAAGAACAGTGATTTATAATCAGTGGAAAACATGATGTTACTTCTTCATCTAAAATTCTGGATTTTTGAGTGCATTTTATCAGAACTGCCTGGAATTAAAAATTGAGTTAGATCAAGTTTTAGCCAAGGAAAACATCCTCCTGTTCCACTTTGCAGATCTGATATGATGTCATAAACTAAGAATGGTCTGCGGTCAGCTGAACTATAATTGATGGGGCAGGCCCGTGTGGTGCATGCAAACTGAAAACAAGCTGCTCCTTAGGGGTATTACAGACCTGGTGGTACTGGTGTGCCCCATGGCTTCATGTTTGGCTCCATTTGTTTTTCTGCCCTTGCAAACACATACCACTGACCTAAACTAACAGAGAGCGAGAGTGTGTACGTGTGAAGTATAATGACCGTGATCTCAGCAGACCTTGATGTGACCTGCAGTCCATTTATCATCCGTCCCCAGAATCCCAAACTATCATATTTGACGCTTCTTAGTATTCCTCACTGTTGAGAAGTTTTTTCTTTTTAACTCGTCCTTAGAGTAAAAGGATCATCTGAAAATCAAAATATCCAGCAGCAAGTGGAGGAGATGTTCCCAGCTCTCTGTGTATTAGGTAATCCCTTGTGTATTTATAATCCTATTCAAATTTTCACAGTTTAAGTCTATTATGGCACACCTCCGGTTTATAATGGAGTTAAAGTGTTGCTGTCTGTGGGAGCGAGCACGTCGGGTGTGACCCGTCATTCTTCCAGCAACAGACTGTGAAGGATAAAAACGCACTGTGACGGGAAACAGATGAGTCAACGAGAAATCTCTATTTCTTTTTAGAGGGCGGGTGATTAAAAAAGTTGGCAAAACTCACCTGTCCAAGTGAAAAGCAGCAATCTCAGCATTGTGCCTCTCGAAGTCGGAGAAGTAGAAGAAGTCTGGAGGCGTTTCCTGCTCCCGGGTCTGCCTGAAAGACGCGGAAATATTGAACATTACATCAGGGGGAAACTTTTCTCTCTCTCTCTCTTTTCCATGTTTTCTTTGTATAAATGGTGGATCTTTGTTGTAATGAACTTTTATTTCCTGGTAAAGAAATTCATTTTATTCACCACTGTGCACGGAAATGAGAAATTCAGCCATCTGTCATCACAAGTTTCAGAAGGTTCTTCACAAGGAACAATATGGAATTATATTAATGACAAATGAGTTAAAAGCCTTTTACATTTCTGTATTCATATTCCTCTTAAACTGGATATGTGAAATCAAACAGTCCTGGAGCTCTGTCATTCTATCAGATCCCTCTTTACTACTGACTCGTCTGGAAGGACAGCCATCATTGTACCAAAGACATACTCCATACATTGACCTCTATTTTTTGGAATCAGACGTCTTTTGATATGAGGTTTGAGACAGTTCTGCTCCCTTCTATTCAAATCTCATCAGCTCTCATCACATTTTTGTTCCCTGCAGCGTGAAACTCATCCCAGCGTCTCTTTCTGGGACACGAGCTGACGCATGAGGCCAAAGCCTGCTTGGACAAGGCGGCTGAGGGGGAAGCTGGATGAGATTTTTTTTTTTTTCCACTTGCTCACATGCTGCTGTTCCTCACACACTATACACACACAGACAGACACACAAAGCCAGACATCCAGGAGATGTGAATGTGCCAACCAAGCAGTGGATCTGAGACAGGGGGCCGCTCAAAGCCTCTTTGTGTCTTTCTCTCACTCTACTTGTCTGGCAGAAGGATATTATCTCTCCACATTCACACATTTGTTTCCTCTTTCTCACACTCACATAACAACCTGCTATAACTGTTCAACTTTCACAAAGTCAGCTAAACCCACACACACGCTACAACCTGCTGCCACATCCCCTCCCTCTCCGCCCTCCTTTATCCTCCCTCCCCTCCTCCACTCCATTAGTGTGGATTGGACTTCAGTGTGTAGCAGTGCATTAGTTTCCTCTCCCCCTCCTCTTCTCGTCCTTCTCCCTTTTTTCTCGAAAAGTCAAACCATAGACAAAAGAAAATAACCTCCCCTCCTATACCTTACATGTCAGAGAAACCGCCACTTGGAGGCAAATCAATTGCTGCTTTTGTTCCCATCTTTCCCACCCAGGATGAGGAAGGGGGGGGGGCTAATGGTGTTTTTCATTTTCAGGGGCAGGGGGATAAGAAGCTACTATGTGGACGGAGAGGGAGTGGAATTAAAGGTGACCTTATGATCCAGAGCACTCAAGCACCTGTGACATTATAATTCAAATATGCTGCTGTCAAAGTGCCTTAGCAAATAGATAATCAGGGTTACTGAATAAAAATAGTTTTACATGACTACTTTCTAAAAGTACACTGCATGGATAGATACATGCATTTTTAAACTTCACTTTCCACTATGCAAAAGATGTAACATAAACCGTACTGACGGGCATTACGGGCTTTGGTTGCCATGGTCACCAAGATATAAAATGCAATTTCCTGTCAGGGAGGAAGCTCCTTAGAATTTTGAATGAAGGTAATAGCAGGTTTGTGAAGTGAGAAGCTGCCACACACACACACACACACACACACACACACACACACAATGAAAAGTTGTGCACACGCACCTCCTTTATCAGTGAGTGTCCTTGATAATAAAAGCCCCTTTATCTGAAGCAGCGTGTGATCAGGCTACAGCAAACATACAGTTCAGCAGAATGTGTGTGTGTGTGTGTGTGTATGTGTGTGTGTGTGTGTGAGTGTGTGTGAGTGTGAGAGAGAGAAGTAATGAAACTGAACTGCATGCCTATATGGACTCAGTTTGCGCTGACTTGGCAGATTTAATGCTTTTTCATGAGCTTAGACCTGCACAGTGGAGGGTTATATTAGAGAAAGATGGGAGAGGGGAGGGAGGGGAGGGGGTGAACACCACAACAGCTGTGGCCCAGACTCATGCATGCACACTCCTCTTTTCTTTCTATCTCTCTCTCTATACTCTCACACATGCACATGCCCTATCACACAGCCAGAATAATGGTACATGTCGGTGACAGAGAGAGGGCAGCAGAGACAAACCAGCTCAGAGAAAATCAAGGTGCCTTCACCTTTTTGAAATTAAGCGAATGAGAGCAAATTGGCAACTCTCTTCACACGAGCACGCTGAATGTAGACAGATCAATGTGTTTGTTTCTCTCAGACAGGTGCCGAGGGTTAAAACTAAGATGGCAGGGAAATTATTAGAAGTAGTCAGAAAGGCTGCAGGTAAAAATAGAATGAAAAAGAAAACACAACAGCTCCTACTGAGTTAGTTTTGTAATGACGGATACTGATCCAACATATAGAGTGAGAGACAGAGAGAAAGAAAGAGAGAGATAGAGAGAGAGGCAGCGACACAACACATGGGAGATCTGTCATCTATTGGTAATACACAGCAGATTTGAGCCCCCCCCACTGACAGGAGTCTTTGTTCCTGTCTGGCCCTCTCTCTCTCTTTCTGTGTGTGTGTGTGTGTGTGTGTGTGTGTAAGGGTGCAGTATGGGTCAGGGAACAACCTATTCCTCTTTTGAACACTCACACAAGGTGATTTTTTTACATTTATTTTTGGACATTTACAACTTTTTCCCAGGGAATAATTTATGGATTATGATGAAATAATGTGGTGCATTTAGTGAACTGACGAGCATTCTAGTTTGTGGGTTGGTTTGTATGTTTGTTTTATTGTGAGCAAGATCACACAATCATTTCCACTAAATTGGTGGACGTGGGGGTGTGAGCTAAAGAAGAAGCCATTTAAAAAGACAAAAATAAAAAAATATCTAAAAAATCTGCATGTTCCCCATCCGAAATAATTATTCCAATGAAGCATTAGCGTAGCGCTCATCTAGCCAGCAATAACAAGTCACAGACCTGCAATTAATCCCTTTAACCATGTAAATGCATGTGACTAATAAGACAGTGTGTTGTCAACTGTGCTCTAATGTGTCCTTTGGGCTTCACTCGTTCCGAGGCCTAACAAGTCACATTCACTGAGTCTGGTGACATTGTCCCCCCCTGCGTAAAAAGTCATATGATTACAAGATGAGAATAACAAGAGAAAATATTTGCATGTAGGTTTCTGTTCCTGGAAATCTGGTTTCCCACGAGGGGAAAGAGAGAAAAGGAGAAAATCCAAGAATATTGCATCCTTCTTTGTATTTTGTAACTGGATTTGATTCACCAGTTCTGCTCCCGTGCAGCTAAATGAAATCACCTCTCACCAGCCTCATCCTACTTAACACCAATTACCCAGCATCCAGAGGTTTATCTTCCTTTCTTCCTCCACTTATATTTCAATCAATCCCAACTTTGTCCGTGCTTCCATTGCTCTTCTCTTCCCAAATCAATGTTTCCCATCAACTGCCTGTTTGTTTTTTGGTTCTCATACTTTTTTCCCTATGGCACAAAGACAAGAGACACTTTTTTTCCCGAAGTTTGAACTCTTTTCACCTCCTCTCCACACTGATTACTATTTCTTTTCGAAAGACCTTTTCTTCTGTGGATTAGTCTGGGAAGAGTTTTTGGTGTGTATAAGTTGTTTGGAGGAATGCAAGTGATCAGTGTGATATATTCAGGACACTCATGGGTAAATGGCACCTTGTGGAATACTCGCAGCACCTCTTGAGGTGACAGACAAGTGAGCCAGATAAAAGATTGTTGGATTGAAACCTCTTCAGCCTGATGCCTTGTGTCAGAGGGTGCTTGTCTGTCACCAGCACTACATGCAGAGAAATCAAAGGCAATGACTGTCAAGACTGCTGTGTGTGTGCGCGCTTCTATTCACATCTGCACACAGCAGCACTGTGTGTGTATCTAAGCAGTTTGTGTGTATTTCCTGATTCTGTGTCTACTTATTTATTTTCCTCCACGCTTACGCCGCCCTTTTTGCTTCCTCCAGCGTCTGTATCGGAGAAAAATCTAAGAACTGGCCCAGGGCCCTAAAGTAGTTGTCTAGATTGAATTTCAAATCAATGTTACACAAGTTGTGTTTTGGTCTTAGCTATTTTCAACAGAGAGACTGGAGGGAACGGCAGCCTATTTGCATGTGTGGGAAGCTGTATGGGCGATATTATAAGAATGCTGGTAACAAGACTTGAAGAGGGACGATTGGCCTGAGTCGGTTTTCGGAGGTAACTGTTGAGGTGGGAGAGATGTGCAGTGAATATGAAGACGGAGCCGCACTATCAATGATCATCTTTCTGTTGCATGAAATATTCAGTATGTGCAAGTTTAGAGGTGTAGATGTCTATTGATTGATCCCTTATCAGAGCAGGGTGCCCTGGGGAGTCGTGTTGTTACATTAATGATCTGCATTAAAAGATATGAGAGCGGCTCATGATGTTATAGAGGCAGTTTCACTCTGAGGCTAATACATTATACATTAAACACTGGAAGAAGAAATAGTACATTAACTTCAATTCAGTGTTTCTCACCAACACATTTAGTTCAGTTAAACATGATGAATGAATTTCCCAATACATAATTAAAAGTATTTTTAAGTTTATAGACCTGCATTCAACAGCTCATCAGTTTGCAGTTTATTTCCTTGTATTTCATTGCTGCATTGCTCCCTGTTATGGCCACTGACCATCACTATGCAGCAGTCTGCAGGAATGTGACTCATCACCTCTAATAAAACACGTATAGTAGATAATAAAGGCATAACTCCACAGCACTGCCAGTGGTAAAAAAACTAACTTAAACTGCTGCGAAACATGGGGCTGCAAGAAACTCCATATATTTTACACACATATGAGATCATGATGTTTAATTGCACTGTTAAATATACATTTTGTTTTCTACTGTCTCATTTATTGTGGAAAGATATTGATTTTGTAAATATGGATGATGCACAAAGATTCAGAAAGTGTGTGAGGAGAAATATAATAGTTCTTTATGTGATGAGTTAATTTCGGATTACTTTTGATTTTTCTTTCTTTTTCGTGTGTTTGTTT